GGGTTTGTGGCCCCCCCCAAAGACCCCCCCCAGCCACAAAGCACCCAAATTCATGGTGCTGAGCTTGGAAAAACCAAGCTTGGCTGTTCCAACATCTCAGCAGGGATGATGGCGCTGCCAGGAGCGGTTTGGTCTGGGGGGTCTGCGGGGGGTGGAAGGTGCTGAGCCCGCACAGTGACAACTCACCGATGGCCCTGGCAGCCCAGGGAATCCTCTCTCACCACGCTGTCCGGGAAGACCGACAATACCACGTTGTCCTGCCAAACCTTGGGGACCGGGGGGACCATCAGCACCCTGTGGGGAGGCAGAAGTGGGGATCAGACCTGGCAGGGTGGTGGGACGGCACCGAATGAGAGTGGAAGGAGGTGTCCCCCAAAAGCCATACCGGGGGGCCGTCCTCGCCAGGTTCGCCCTTCTCGCCAGCGGGGCCAGCGGGGCCTTGGAGACCGGGGTCACCGGCACGGCCCGGGGGACCGGCATCACCACGAGCACCCTTGGGACCATCTTTGCCAGCAGAGCCAGGAGGACCAGGAGGGCCTGGGTTACCCTGTGGTGGGGACAAGATGGGTTCATACAAACAGAAGCGGCTTTTCCACCTTCATCACCCACATCCTGGCAGCACCTGGGGCTCCAGGTCGGCTCCTCAGCTGAAGACCCTCAGAAAAAAACCCCTTTTTATGGGCTGATGAGCTGCCTGGTGTTGACTGGGGGATGTTTAGCTCAGAGACCCTCTGCTACTTGGCCCCCAGCATGGAGCAAGCAGCATCTCCCGAGTTCCCAGCCTCAGGGGTGAGTGATCCTGGCTGTTCCCAAATGATCCTGGATGTCCCTCCAGAGCGATCTCAACTGTCCCTCAAGCATTCGCAGATGCTACCCAGTGATCCTGGCTGCCCCCAAGTGATCCCAACTGTCCCTCAAGCCATCCCAGATGCCCCAACATGATCCTGGCTGCTCCCAGGTGATCCTGGATGTACCACCAAACAATCCCAACTGTCCCCTAAGCCATCCCAGATGCCACCGAATGATCCTGGCTGCTCCCAAGTGATCCCAGCTGTCCCTGAGCAAACCCAGCTGCCTCCCCTGAGCGATCCCGACTGTCCCCGAAGCCATCCCAGGTGCCCCCAAATGGTACTGGCTACCCCCAAGTGATCTCAGCTGCTCCTCTGAGTGATCCCAGCTGCTCCAAAGTGATCCTGGATGTTCCCCAAGCCATCCCAGTCCCCCCAGATGATCTGAGCTGCTCCCAAGTGATCCTGGCTGCCCACGTGAGCAATCCCAACTGCCCCCCTGAGCAATCCCGACTGTCCTCAAAGCCATCCCAGGTGCCCTCAAGTGATCCTGGCTGCCCTCAAGTGATCCTAGGTGCCCCCAAATGATCCTAGGTGCCCCCAAATGATCCCAACTGCCCTTCCAAGAGATCCCAACTATCCCCTGACTCACATTAGGGCCAGGTGGTCCCACGCGGCCGGCAGCGCCGGGGAATCCGGTGGCTCCCTGGGAAAGGAGAGGAGAAAGGCGGCTCAGATGCTGCACCGCGCTCCCCCCAGCCACCCCCTCCCACAGCCCACC